TGCACAATGAGACAAGCTCCATCATCTTGCTATTTTATCAGTTGAAAAGGAAGAACTTTCTAAGCTGAGTCACAAGTGATTGACCACTTTGCAAAAATGATAAATAGGAGGTACACTTTAATGCTCAAAAAATAAAAGGAAAACTTAGCTCAGGATGAGTTAAAATTTCCCCCGAACTAAAACTCTGAAACCTAGGAATGAATGATTACTTCAGAATGTGTATAAGGAAACTTTTTATTTGTCAAAGTTGTTGATGTCTTATTTTTTATAGCTGCAATGTTGAAAATGTTCATGTTTGTTAAAACAAATATGCTCTTATACTAATTAATATCTCAACTGGTAATTTTGGTAGGAATGTATCAGGGTTGGGCAGTGTGCTTGTCTGTATTTATGTATGGAAGGAGGGGCATATGCATCAGGGGGCCAGTGCCCCAGTAAAACTTTGTGCCTAGCAACGCCCCTGGTTGCAACTGTTCCAGTTGGCGATGTTGTCCTTCGTTATGCGTTTTAAATCTCATAATGTGAAAGAATATTTTATTATTAAATAAAAAAAATCGATCTGTACACCAAATGTATGTGTTTGTACAGGATGGCTTTGGATGTTTAGCATTAAAGCTACATATAGTAACAGAGCAGATGACAATACAACCAGCCTACTTGAACTAAGATCATGAATAGTTAAAGCTTTGGCTCTAAAAAGAGAGGAAACAAATTTACCATAAAATACATTTTATTTCAGTGGCGTATAAAAGATCAACAGTAATCATAACTTGATTTATTTTTATTTCCAAATTCTAATAGTAGACTTTAGGGATTTTTACCAAAGCATAAACAAAAATCAGTATATATCTGTGGATGTGCTTGAAGTCATCCTGCAACAAAGGAATATCCAGCAATGGCCTGTATTGATCCTCAAATGTCTGCCCATGACCTCTGCATAACTTCCCAGCTGGGAAAAAGAATCCACAGGACATGATGCAGCCACCGCCTTGCTTATGACTTAGGATAATGTTTTTATATGACAAAAGGAGTTCCATCTGACAGATAACTGGCTTTTGGTCTATTCATAGTTTCTGGAATAAGTGCAAATAAAATACAATACAATAATAGTGAAATGTTTTTAAATGTTATTTGACAGAAAAAAAAAAAAAAACATTACTTAGCCTCTATGTTCTCAGGCCTTTCTTTCTTTTTTTTATTTTTTTTTTTTTACCACATATACAAAAATGCCTCTGCTGTGAAGATAGCCAGCCAAATTACTAAATCACTGCATTCTTCCCCTGTTTCCTCTTCTTTTGCCTGGGTTCCTTTGAGCCACAGCAGCATCCATATCACTGCATGAAAAGTGGGATTTTCGTCAATATGCGGCACTGTAGATTGTCGTGGAACTTCAGGTTAGCGGCAGTTTACGACAATTTGCAGGCTTCGCCGAAAACTCCCGTAAATTGTCAGAAATTGACGTGGACTTTGTTAGGCAGTGTTCCCCCCATGCCTCCCCCCCATGGAATTCTAGGGGAGGCTTTAACATGTAAATGAACATGCTGTGAGCTATACAAATGCAAATCAGGGTTGCAGGGGGGGTTTTACTCCAAGTGACATTTTTCTAAAAGGTAAGAAAATCTCTGATACAAAGAGATCAGGCTCAGTATAGCCTCTTACATTTTAGCTTGAATTGATTTATTTAATTAAAGTATAGAGACCAAAACAGATCTTTAGCTGACAGAGCAATACATTTAGAGCAGTAATTATAAAAAAAAAAAAATTGCATTTAAGATAAAAAATTAAATGTTGTCTGTCAATATGCTCAATTCACAATAACTTAAGTGGAAAAGTTTCAAGAAATGAGTCTGAGATGATTCACTTTATAACATGGCGCATTATCCTGTTGGAAGTAGCCATCAGAAGATTGGTACACTGTGGTCATAAGGTCCGGCCAGGTCAAGATCCGCAATTGCAATCGCACCAAACAGGAAAAAGAACATCGACAAATTCCGGTTCGTCAAATTAAAATATAGCAGCAACAGATCGGTGACTAGAAATTATAGCACAATTCTTATATATATATAAAAAAAAAAAAACTAACACCGTTTATTTAAATGATTGGATCCAAACTATTGGTTATTCACCAACGAGGAAGCAGATTTCTCATCTCCATCAAAATATTTATTTTATACCGAGGGACTTAAACTTTAATCAAATCCATTCAAAAGAAACTTCTTATTACAGGAATGAAAAGAGATGCTGAGTTTGGGAGAAGAGAACAAGTTTATTTAAAAAAAGCAGTTTTGAATTATCCTTATCCCCGTTACAAAAATCTACAAAAATATATATATATATTTGGGCAGAAACTGAACATATGCTGGATAATGGTGGGATTTTTTTAATATGTCATATTAAATTAAGCGCTCACAGGGTTCATACAGGAATGAGTGACTCTAATTTAATGCTATTTGAAATGATTTTAATGCCATCAACAAGAACCATGTACACAAGTTATTAGTGTACACAGGGGGGGATTTACCATTAGGCAATACTAGGCAGTTGCCTAGGGCCCCAAGTTCTGGGGGCCCCATAAAACTCTGTTTCCATGTATGGTTAATACAACTAATCCTTATTTGTGCACATTAATTATGTTTTTGATAAAAATCCTTTGGCTAAAATGCCATCAGAACGCTGATAAATAGAGAGGAAAAAGGGACAAGAAGAGAGGGACAAAACCTAGAACAAATAATGGATGTCTATTCTATTAACATTTCTCTATCTGAAGAATTGGTCTGTTTTATGGGTTTTCTTCTCAGGGGGCCCCAAATTTCCTAAATCCGCCCCTGAGTGTACATGAAATATGAAGGAGCTGTAAGCACAGTTCCATGACTCCTGTATGTATGTAAACACACACATATATACGTATATATATATCCTCTAGCTTTTTCTCCACCTGCAGCGATATAATATATCTGACGAAATTGTTTTTATAAGCATTTTTTATTAAAGAATTATAAATACTTCGATAAACATATTTTAAAAATTTTAGTGCCAATTAAGGCCTTGATTTTAAAAAAATGAATGATTTTTTTATTATTTTTATTGATCCGCGGAAACCCTGGTTCATCTCGCGCATGCTCCCTACGATCTCCAAGAAACTCAGAGCGGAGCTCTGGAGCCACAGTGGAGGATGCATGCTTTGCTTTGTGCAGGCGGTCTGGAGCGTCTGGATTTCGGGGTAAAACTCCTCTTGGACGCGATGGCGACTCTGCATCGAACAAGACGAACTCAAAGAAGAGATGCTAGCGGTAAATATATGTTTGATTACTGCCTGCTAGGCTAAAAGCAGCCTAGCCTAAGCTACGGCTAATAGCAGCCTAGCCTAAGCTACGGCTAATAGCAGCCTAGCCTAAGCTACGGCTAATAGTAGCCTAGCAAGAACAAGCTTTATTAAAGTGTATTTTTTGTGATTCACAGGAAGCAGTACGCCGTCTTCAAAACTCGGAGACTAATTGCAGGCGCTATGAACCGGAGCAAGGGTAAGATTTAAAGAATATGCTTTCATTCTGCGGTAAAAGGAAATGGATACGGATAGATATCGATCATAGCTTTACATTTTGTTTTCACAGACTACTGTCGCCTCACAATGAGGCGGTGACCTCCTATTTGCTCGGAGCCATATCAGCAAGTCCAGATTTGCACGATGTTGATAAAGACGACATTGTGTGTAAGTGACTTGTTTTAATGTTTTCTCCTTCCTTGTTACTGTGACTTGCATTTCATTTTTTATTTATACCACTCTCATTTAATTGTTTTCCAGCTGCCTGTAAGACGTATTTTCAGACGGTACGCAGGAGCTTCAGATATACGCAGCCAGCCAACACGCTGCGTGCGGAGGCAATCTGCTCGGAGTCGGGCCAGAAGAAAGAGGGTAAGACTTTATTTGGTGACTATTTTTCAGGTGCATTAATAGATGTGTTGTGTCCATACGCAGTGCGCTGATTCATTGTTTTTTTTTTTTTCAGCTGCTGAAAGCGAGGCAGAGTGTGCTAGCAGATGAGGAAGTGGAACTCTGGAAGTCCGCCGTCGTCGGCGGTGCCTCTGGATGGATTGTCCGGTCGCCACCATTTCGTAGGCCGGATCTCACTGAACTCTGTGTTAAGCTGCAGTCCCGGTTAGAAGCGATGCCGAAGTACAGGGCCACGCACAGTAGGCGTCTGCACATCGGACCTGCCTCGGAGGGAATGCTGCCAGTTACCTCCAACCCCGAGGAAGCAAACGGACCGTTCACGGACTTTTAATTTTTAGAAACGCATGTGTTTGGATATGCGTTGTATATAGTTGTGTGTGTTTCAATAAAGCTCTTTCTTTGCATAAACAGCTTCCTGGCAAATGTTCATTTCCTGTATAAATTCATTCATGTCCTTGATGGTAGCATAATAATTGTGTAGTAGTGTAGGATAACATAAATACACAGCATATGAATGAATAAATATATGAATGAATAAATATATGAATGAATAAATATATATATATATATATATATATATATATATATATATATATATATATATATATATATGAATAAATATATATATATATATATATATGAATAAATATATATATATGCCAACCAATCACGAGCGACTTTACTTGTTTAAAAAGAAGTGGTTCCGTCCAATACTCAGTAAGAAAATTAAAGCCTGGCGTGGCCACGTGTGGTTTTGCTGCCAATCACGAGCGATTTAATTTGTTTGAGAATAGTGGTTTCAGCCAATACTGAGTAGGTTATTCAAGCCAGACCTGGCCAGCCGCGCGGGTTTGCTGCATTCATATGCTAATTAGGGCCATTAGTACAGCTGATCGCTCTCCACATACGTCAGAGTCCGTTTTCGACAATTTGTGGCACGACAAACGCGGACAAGCACGGGTTGCAAATTGTCGGAAACTGACGAAAATCAGGCAGATCTGCGGGAGTTTACGGGGACGAAAATCTCACTTTTCATGCAGTGTATAGCAGAGCAAAGAGCACCAGTGAAAGAGTCCCCATTGCAAACAAGCCGATGACCACCAAACCGCCCAGCATCCATGGATCAAGCTGCAGACGGTACAGGAACCAGTCCACCCACTCGTCGGGTGAGCCTGTGGGCATCTGACTCTCAGGCAGACTGCAGAGGAGATAAATAAACCACACAGGAGATCAGAAAGAACGTTTGTATGTACTTACATATGTCTGCATACGCTTCAAAATGTTTTCAAATCTTGTCATATTACAAACAGAAGCTGGTTTTAGATGGATTTTTGGATAGACTGAAACTTATGTTTCCTGCTTTATTCCAATAGCAGTAAAATCTAGTTTTTCAAATTATATTGTAAGCTGTGAGAAGCTGGTAACCAGATCTTTTATGTTTTTCTCTCAAAACTGGCTTTCGTTTTACATTTCTTCTATAAAGGCCAAATTTGTCAAGTACATCCCGCTGCAGCCTGCGGGAAGACGGGGCTTGACATCAAGCCCTGCCCACATCAAGGACAGCCATATTGGAAATGCTGACCGCTCTTGCCTATAGGCGCTGGCGAGAGAAATGGCCAAAAAAATGTGTTATGTCACATGGTATGTCTGTCACGTGGTATGTCCTTTTTATTTTTAAATCTTTATTAAATTTTCAGATGTTAAAATAACATTAGTAACAAACGGTCTAAAATAAACAACAATAAGGAATTATTATGAAGATGTATTTATCTATCCTCAAACCCTATCACAAACTTCATAAAACGTAAATTACATTGGTAGTTTAGAGACAAATGAACATTACATTGAGGACACATTTATCTATCCAATTGTCATACACGCACACTTATCCCTATAGTGGTGTCGTTAGGGCTGGTGCAGTGGATTCTGGACAGATTCCCGGTCCATCACAGATTAAGAAAAAATCTATCCATCAAATTTCTGACCCGCTTAATCCCGCATGGGGACGTGGGGGTTGCTCGTGTCTATCTCCAGCGTTGATTACGAAAAGCAATATAACCAAATACTTGCTGGTGCTGAAGTTCAAATAATAATATAATATGAGTAGACCCCGCATTGGCTGTTGCGGCGCAGGAATTACGGCCGCCATGTTGGGGCGGTCGACCTGCTACTCAAACCTGCTGATTCAAGCTGAACACACTAATGATGCCTCAGCACTGTGCGGCGTATTTTTGTTTAAATTTACGGACTATTGATGTCAGGGCTCGAGGGATAACTTTTCACAATTAAGATGAAAACATATCTTTACATATATCTTTATATATATCTTCTTATATGTCTATGTGCTTCCCTGCCCTGGTACGGGAGCATTTCCAATATGGCTGTCCTTGATGTGGGCTGCAGGCTGCAGCGGGATGCTTCTCAAATTTGTGGACAACATACGCTAAGAGTTAAAATGTCTGCAAGTTTTTACACCTTAGCTGACAGGCAGATGAAGAAGGGGATTAATCAGAGAAATTACTTAAAGGTCTATCTAAATGGGAGGAGCAGCAGAGACTCATGTCTCAGGTGGGAAAGCTGCAAATCTGTTGTAAACACTTTTGTAAAGAGTGAAGAGGACTACAAATGGAAAACAGCTATTAGCTAATACTGGTGCAGAGCATCACTTCTCGTTTTGAGATTAATATTTTCTCTGCATTTTCCGTGTTTGTAAATAAAGGAAGAAAAAAAAAGAACAGCATTTTGGGTAAACACGGGTATAAACCCCTGTTTGCAGTTTGTTAAACACCATTTAGGAAACGGCAAACATGTGGAAGAAGATGCTCTGGTCAGATAAAACACAAAGTAATGTGTTTTGGATAAGATCCAGTAATTCTATGTCTGGTTAAAAATAAACTCTGCACATTATTCTGAATTTTACCTCAACACGATGAAGCAAAGTGTTGGCAGCATTATGCAGTGGAAATATTTGTTTCAAGGAGCTGGTTAGAAATAATGGGTGTAGTAAAATGCAGGGCAATCCCGCAAGAAGAAACATCCAGAACTAAATCTGGGTATAATGGCCTTATCAAACTCCAGCATCAAGTCAAAATGAGATTCAGTCATTTGGAAATGGATATACTTAATTACCATTAATAATCTGAATCTGATGGTCAACCAATGGGACGCACCTCAAAAGACATCTATCTACACTGAAAAACCAAATTCTACAAATTACAATTAATTATTACTACTGTTGCACTGATCCAGCACTAAAGTGGTGGTATCGGTATTGGCGTGCACCGGCATAGAAGGCACTGATGCCATTTTGAGAGCCAAAAGTTTATTCAACTATTGTCACCCATTCCAGGTAGGCAGTATTAGTCTTTTTCTGCTTCACAAAGGTAGGCAGCAGCTTGACAAAGCCATGATGGCAATTATTTTATATCCAAGTAGCATGCAGTTCTTCCTATACAGACACACACATACATTTCAAACAGTTGGTCTCGGTATTGTATTGGTACCGGCCGATACTGCACAGCCAAGTATCGTGTATCAGTACTGGGGTCAAAAAAGGGCATCAGTGCAACACTAATTATTACATATATTTTGGTTTAAACCAACTAAAACATTATTGATTCTTGCAAAACTGGTAAAAGTTCAAGGGGTGTTAACTTTTATGCATACCCTCATACGTTTGCTTTTAACTAAAACACTCAAAATCTATAATGAGGCAATACATTTCTTTATAGAATCATTAAAAAAAGAAGTTGTATTTAATAGGAATGTTTATATAACTCGCCACATTCCTTATTTAAACTCACCTCACCGCCATGTCCTGTTGAACGATCCAGTCACAGCTCACATGCTTCCAATAAACCGTGTCTACAGGAGAAATGATCGACCCAGCAGCTGAAACCTTTCACCATAACCCCATATCCCAGTCGGCTGTTACTTTCAGCTCAGACGACTCATTCTGAACATCCAAATAGCTCCTGATCTGAAAAAAAGAAAAAAAAATAGAGGGTAGAGTTTGATTTGCTGAAATATATGCAACATTTATTAAATTAGACTTAGAGGAACCAACTACAGCCACATAGAACACTATTTGTGTCAGCTCTATATTAAAATATAAACAGCTCAGGCTTTACCTCTGAGCATGGGTGTAGGTTTGCATAGGGACCATAGGGACATGTCCCTACCAAAATTTTGAACCGACCTAATAATTGGATGTGAGCAACATGTTTATAATTTACAGCAGTAGTTGTTGCAGCAGTGGCTTCTTTTCCTCTCGCAGCTCCTCTGCCTGGTCTCTCCTGTCCCTTTCATGAAGCAGCGCATGGAACTGTGCTGCGCTGTTTAACTCAACTCTCATTGGTTGTTCTGCCTTAAGTTCCGCCTTCTCTCTCTCTGATTGGCTGTTTTCTAGTCCGCGTGTGCTTGGAGCACAACATTGAAAATTTATTCACACTAGAATGCAGCGGTTACTACAATTAATATTAGGCTACAAAACTAGCCCCAATAAAAAAATGAATATCATGTATACTAAAAAACAAAAAACTTTTTTTTTTCTTTTATAAAACGAAATATTCTGAGTCAGCCAGGAGTTCTGAAGACTGTTGGAAAAATGGGCAAATAAAGGCTGTAAGCCATCAACATTTCTGATTCTTAGCCACAGCCAACTAAAAAAGAAAATGTGAGGGTTTCCTTTTTACCGATATTTAGTTGATATTACTGTTTTCATTTTTTTTGTTTTTATTTTTACAATTTTGATATAATCACTGATCTAAGTGGGTTGCTCTGTGGGGAAAGGCACATTTTACATTTATATTACTGTATGTTTTAAAGTCTCTATACTCCAGTTAATGATGAATCACTTACTAAATTAGTTGACGATTATTGAAATAATCAATTAATATGATTCATTTTTTTCAGCCCCAGATGAAATACATGATATTGGCTTCACAGAGTAACTACAGCCCAGATGTTCAACTTTTATAGTGAAGTAAATATTTTAATGAATGTATTATTTTGCTTGATACAGAGAGAGAATAGTAGGTACAAATATTAGAGTGGGGTTTAACTCTGCACAATTCTGTATCTTCAAAAGAAAATACTGTATTTACCTTCTCTCTTAGTCGTTCAAATGAAACCGTTTTCAAAGTGGAAAACAGTCCTAATTCCACATTCATCAGAGCCGGTGATACTTCAAACATTGATAAACAGCATCTAATGAGTGTAGAGCATATAACATTTTTATTAATGGAGCAAAATGTTGCTTTTCTCTTTTAACAATGAATTCCTCTTATCAGTACGGATGCTCACATCGAGCATAAAAAAGGGCATGCATATTGCATAGCACCAATGACACCAGACCAATAGTGTCCCTACCAAAGTTTAAATCAGACCTATGCCCTTGATTTTTGGATTCCTGTTTTTCTACCTGTGATCATTCTATCAAATCTGCAAGAACTCACCTCAGCCTCCCTGCCTCTGCATTTGGGTCCTCACAAAAACCTCTAACCAAATCATGACACATGTCCACTGATTTGTCTTGGACATCTGCTTCCAATACCCCCTGGGAGCCTCCCTCAGGAGGTGTTCCAAGAACTTCCCACCAGGAGGAGGCCCAGGGACAGCCCAGGACAGGGTGATGGATTATGTCTCACTGTGGGTCTTAAAACTTTTGCACTTCCCTTAAAGGTGCTGGAAAGGGTGTATAGGAGGGGGAAGTTTGAACATATCTGAGACTGCTTCCCCCTCAATCATTTGAATAAGTTCAGTTCAGAGCTCAACACTTTCTATTTAATATGCAACATTTAGTGCAATTAAAAACATAACCCAATTTAAAAAGATCTCCCTAACCCTTAATAGGGCAAGTTAGTGTTTTTAATCACTTGCATACCCCTTACAAATGGAGCACCCCCCACTACCCCCCGCCCTGGAATTTTATATTACTGTAAATTAAGTTGGGGAAAAAAGTTCACAAGGCAAGAAAAAAAGGTAAAAAGCTAATTGAAAAGTTAAAGATGTAATAAGTTAACAATTATATTTAGGTTTAACTAAAAAAATTTAAGTGTCAGTATCAGCATTAATGCCTCTAAGGTTATGTTGTACCAAACAAAAATGTTTCCCTTACTCTCAGAGTGTTTTTCATAAATTTTTTATACAAGCTCTTTGGTTATTTTTCTTAATATATTTGGGCAAGTTGGCGTTTCATGTTATTACCGATGTGACTAGCAGTCATCCAGGAATTCACAGGACTGCAGTTCCACAAAATCGACATACTATCATCATAAATCATCTTACCTTAATGTCCCTTATGTGAGAAACAGATATTATTTATAGTTAATCAATTGTATTAAAGCGTTTGTTGTTGACATGTGGCCAGGTTGTTCAGATGAGCTCTCAAATCAGAGTTGTAGTTTCTTTGGAATCATAGATTCAACATTAAACCTCGATTTAATAGTGAAAGTTTGAGAATCAAGACTCTCCTGTTTTCTTTTTGGTTTGTTTTTTAATAATAAATAATCATCAAAATAACTGTCTTTATTTTTTGTGCCATTTTTATGATGAAGTTCTTTACAAGGGTTATGGTTAGTAAAGTGAAAAGTATGTGCTGCAGAAACCACTTAAAGTAACCTTTTAAAAAACAGCCAGATGCTAATATGTGAATTAAAAGCTCAATTTTTCGACTATTTAGAAAAATTCTTTGAGATAGGGCCAAGGATGAGGGAGGTCTTGTTGGTCTCCCGATACGCTTTCGCCTGTGTCTGACCTTTCAGACATTTCAACATCTTTTTCTGAATCCGACATTGTAGCATGGCATAGACAATTCATGTTTGCAGTTTGAAGAACACCTGCTTGCTTCTGATGATTTCCTTTAGCTAACCAATGAGTGTTTGCGTTCTATGACTCATCCAATTACACTAGTTTTGACGTGAAATAAATATTTATAAACATTAAAGGAATAGTACACCCAAAACATGATTAGCCTTCATTTTCTACTCACCCCGCATGCTGAACAACACCCTGGAGTACTTTTTTGATATCTCAAATGCATCTGGAGATCTGGGAGGCTTCTTGCTGTCTGCTGACATTCAAATAATGGAGGTCTATTGTGCCCTTCTTCTTCTTCTTCTTATGAGATTTTATGGCGGTTGGCAAACTTGTGAAATGTGCATTACCGCCACCAACTGATATGGAGTAAAGCAAGGAAACAGGAAACGATTCACCCCCCCCAAAAAAAAAAAAAAAAAAAAAAAAAAAATACAATAAAATAACCTGTGTAACTTAAACCCACATAATACTAAATTATACTAAATTACATTTGCCCGTATAATTTTAATTTACTCTAGGTCATCGTACCTCTGCCAGTTTCTGATGGTCCCATTGGTCTTTCCATCATGCTTCCAACCATCTCCCAGTTCATATCTTTAACATCCAGATATTTTTCTGCAGCCTTCACTATTATTTTGATTTTTTCTGTTTTTTTTGTCGTCTGAGCAGTACAATTAATCACTTCCACCATGAAAAGAACAAAATTTGTCTTTTTAACAATTAGTGAGTCTTCATCAATTTTTGGAGATTTCTCTAGAGGTTTGAAATTTGCCGTGTGTTGAACTGTAGGTTTGGGTTTTTCTGACTGAGATGGGATCCTTTTTGCAGCTTCAGCATAAGTTATTCCAAGCTCAAATTTCATTTTTTTTATTTCTTCAGACCTTTTGCTTGCTTCACAGCCGCGATAAGCAGCAGTATGTTCTCCACCACAATTACAGCATTTTATTTTAGCTTCTTTTCCACATTTACCATATTCATGTTCTCCTGCACACCTTCCACACCTCTGTTTCCCTTTACAAACTGCTGCAATGTGTCCGAATTTTTGACATTTGAAACATCTCAATGGTGGTGGATTGTAGATTTTGACATTGTAACTGATGTAACCGATGAATACTTTGCTTGGTAATTGCTCTTCCTCGAATTTAATTAGTACAGATAAACTGTCAGATCTTTCTCCGTTTCTTGTTGTTTTTAACCGTTTTACTTCTTTTACTTTTGCACCGCTTATGTTTTCCAGAATCTCTTTTTCAGAAATTTTCAGAGGAACTCCTCCAATGACTCCCCTGCTGATCTTTTTGTTCTCCATTAGGCTGCACTGAACTCTTATCCCGTCAATTTTGTTAATACGTATTGCTTTGCCTTGCTGGGCGCTGTCTCTGCAGTTAATTAGCAGGTCTCCACTGTACAGAATTCTGGCACCTCTGACTTCTCCAACAAGTTTATTGATGGTTTTTGTTAAGTGAACCGGATTCCAGTTTGTAAAAGAGTCTGCCTGATTAACGACTTTGAATATGACTTTGAATTCATTTTGTTGTGCTGTGGAATGTATGGATTGATCATCACTGGATTGTTCTGAACTAGATTCCCCTTTAACTGATCTCTGTTTTTTCCGCTTTTTCTCATTTTTTGATGCTGCTATCTTCCAACCTTCATTGTCACTATTTCCCTCTTCCATCCCACAAGAATCGCTTCCTGTTTCCTCACTACTCACGGCCCAGGACATTTCTCCACAAGCAGAGCAGCTTCAAAACACGCGCCATGCACCAAACGACCCGAGCCACATGGAGGATCCTCTTCTTCCTTGTCCCTTGGTCTATTGTGCCCGAGACAGAAAGGTCCATAAAAGTCCACAAAAAACGTGTCAATATTCCTCCATACTGCTCGTCCAATGTATTCCAAGTGTCCTGAGTGGGTAGCGTCCATAATTTACTCGAAACGAAGTCATTTAGAATGTTTTTAGAGCATAAACAGTCGTGTATAGGATTTCCTAAAAGCGCGTTCACGAGCCTACGGAAACCGCGGCAGACCAAACCAGACGAAAGTGCGCATTCAGCGGCTGCTCTGCCGATAATGCAAGCGTGGAAGAAGAAATGTGCTGTTTACCTGTGCAAAGAAAGAAACAACGAAAGAAAAATGTCTGAGGACTTCAGTGTTGAGGAAGAGCATGAGTTCTTTGCCGAGCTGAATGCGCACTTTCATCTGGTTTGGTCTGCCGCGGTGTCCGTAGACTCATGAACGCGCGTTTAGGAAATCCTATACAATACAACTGCAGTACTCGGAAGACACAGCAGATGGCAGCATAACAGCTTCTCCATCAATAACCATTGAACAAAAAATGTTAGTATGGTACAAATCCCTGTTGAATGTTTTTGACACTTTAAAGACAAAAGGGGATTAAAATCAATACTAGTTATGTGATCATAAGTTGTGTCTTATGAAGTTGCCCTTTTTTCTTGGTATTCAAACAGATGTATTTATAATTAGATGAAAGTTTTCAGATTTTTTTTCTAAAAAGAAAAATAATAAAGATTCATTAAATTCAAATTAATTTTTTATTGAAGCACTTTTGTTATTTTTTTAAATATATTTGGGCAAGTTGGTGTTTCTTGTTATGACATTGACATTAATTTTTGTCATCAAAATATTAATATTTTTTGAATGTTACAAAGGTGATAAGATCTTGTCCTGATTCCAATAACACTTGAAATTTTGATTTTTAAGGTCAGAAAACAAAGTAGATACATAGATGCCACAAAATCACGGAGTAACTTCTGCTGCACTAAGATAGTTTTTAAGAATAAATATCTGCACCCGACCAACACTGATGTTGCTTGCAAACACAAAGGTTTCCACTAGGGACTTTAGCATGTATCAAAAAAATGCAGTTAATTGAGTCAATTTTTTAAATACATTAAAGGCATAGAGGGCGTTCTTTTATTTCCTTGTGGATCATCTAAATAAGTGGTCCTCCTAAATGTCCATAATTATGGTTTCATGTTTACATAAGGCCATCCTACATGCTCGACCCGTTAGCTATCTTTTTGCTCACATGCGTACTTTCTGCCGCATATGTGTGGTGAGGTACGGTTTCAGTCATTGAAGCTAACCTTTATCACTGCAGTTCTTGAAAATTGCCAAAGGTCGTAAGAGAAAAAGTGTCTATGAAGTGTATGAGAATAAAAGGAAGGCCTCAGAAGGGGCAGATATATCCCAGAATGCTTTGCATGGAGAGCTCTACTTGAATATTTAGAAAATTCAATACTTGAGTAGATGTTTGACCGAGTAACATTGAATTGTAGTTAAATAAGATTAGAGTATAAGTAGCAATACTTTACTCAATTACTACTGTTGAGCACTTAATCCACAACTGGACATATGCAGTGGAGATTATTTTACTTCAAAGATCTGAATGGGTGTGTACACTGGAAAAACTATCAAGAAATTAGTCAACATTTCTTAAATTAAGTGTATTTACCATTCATTTGAGCAGGTAAATAAGAGGATTTTCCAATGTAACGAGATTTATTTACTCTCAAAATAAGATAATTAGATAATATACACTTTAAATAAGACAATGCAATTTTTTTTCTTTTGTATTTAAATGATCTTATTCTGTCGGCAAAGTATCTCACTTACCTCCTCAAATTAAGAAAAAATTACTTATCTAGATTTCGATGTTTTTCCAGTGTACATGGCTGCAAAATGGATTGGAAAAAAAACCAACTCTCCTTCGGATTGAAATTTCTTTCTAAATTCAGATTTATTGTCAAATATTTCAGTAGAAAACCTTAGAAAGCGGCCAGTGAGCTTTAGAACTCGCTCCTTTGCCTTATTAAATGCAAGCTTTGACTGAACTCACCTTTAGGTCAGGATGGAACTATAATAATGCAGAAAAACAGGCTCTGCTAATTAGCTTGTGCAATTAGCCAGTTTTTCCTAATTCTTCTCACGCACGCACGCGTGCGTGCGCACGCGCTTCCGCTGCCATGGAAACGGAGGCCTCTGAACGTCGCCGCCATCTTTAACCGTTACTTTCTAAACTTGAGCTGGACGCTTGACTTGCTGCAGTCTGTGGTTTTTACTAACCTGCCAAAGATGTGCTTCACACCGATGATGAACAGGTTGCAGGATCGGCTAGAAGGTTAATATCACTATTTTACTATGCTAATTCAAAAAATGTTACTTGATTAAATGATTATTTTGAAGTTTTTCCATGAAGTTGTGAAGGCTAGCTTAGCATCTAGCATCTTTGACATCTCAGAGATTAAATGTGTTTTTAGTCGACTGAATTAGTCAGGAATAATCCGTGTATCATTCGTTCTTTCTATTTTCAATTGTCAATCAAAAAAAAAAAAAAATCAAAAATTGACTGGTTATTTTGTTTTTTGTTTTTTATCGTTAAACCAAAAACGAAAAAAGGATTGGTTTTTCATATTTCAATTCTAAGCTCAGATCAAGAATACGAAATGGAAAAACGGACAGCAACGCAGAATTTGATTTTAATATTTAATCGGTACAGTTTACATGACCCGGAAGTTTGGTGGAGCGTTAGCTAAAAAAACAATTGGCTTACTCCCACCACGTTCGATCAAACTGCACCAGATAAGGCAGTCGGACCTATCAGCCATGGACAGTTACGTTTTATTTCGAGGATCCAAGCGTGTGACTCTTGAGGAGGACATGACAACGGAGAAAATTTGCAGGATTTTCCAGGTATAACTTTTTTCTTGAAACTTTTCTGTGCACTGTACTTTTAACTAGCAACAACAAACAGCGTTCTAGCGTCGCCATGGTAGCCACTTCATCACCCCACTGCCTCGCAAAGAGCTATTTCCGGGTCACGTAAACTGTACCGATTAAATATTAAAATCAAATTCTGCGTTTTTCCATTTCGTATTCTTGATCTGAGCTTAGAATTGATATATGAAAAACAAATCCTTTTTTCGTTTTTGGTTTAACCATAAAAAACAAATAACAAAATAACCAGTCAATTTTTTATTTTTTGTTTTTTGATTGGCAATTGAAAATAGAAAGAACGAATGATACACGGATTAGGAATGTTAACAGCCATTTAATTATTTGGAAAAAAAAACTATTTTTATTTCAGAGAAACACCTTTGTTGAATTTTACGTGAAATGTTTGAAAACTAGATTAAGCTAGGTCTGTTTTTAAAAAAAAAATGCCCTGAAAATATGTTAGCTCTATATGGAAATGTTGGTGAAAATACATTAAATAAAGAAATTAAACAAAGAGACATTTAAAGGACATTTAACATAATATATCATCAAGCCAAACTGTTTATTTTTCTATTTAATAAAAAGTAGTGTTTTGAAAGTTGACTGAATTTTAGCTGAAAAAAAAAGAAGAGATGAAGATTTTCAAGTTGTTTAGTTTAGTAAATGTGTTTAGGAAATGATGCGTTTTTAACCCGTGTTTTTTATACAAAAAAGTTTTTTAAGGGGTATTATGTATTAAATAGATTTTTATTGATCGGAAATGGGAGGGATGATAACAGAGATGCAATTATGTAAAACAGAAACAAAGTTTGGTTTGAGAGAATAATCTATGGTGACTTTAATGTGGAAATGGATGAAAAAATAGAAAATAAGTTATTTTAGGATAAAATGGATTCATTGATGGTATTGGAATTTGAAAAGGAAGGCCTTTTTTAAAACATGCTGTAGTAAACATATTGGTCTCCATGGATACCTTTGTGGAATGCATTAAACCACTTTAGGACTTTTTCAGGTTGCACAAGGTGATTTTGAAATCATGTTTTTAAAGGCAACTACTAAGCAACAAACTAAAACTATTAATTTTAATAAAACCCTAAACATTATCATTTGTTTGTTTTTAGCTTTTGTTTCCTAAAACAAAAATCAGGTCCTTTTCATTTTTTGGCTGTAACATGTTTAGAAATTGACTGAGTTTATAATAAGGATAAAGAAATAAAAGAAAAAATGTTTAATTAAGAGTTCAGAAAGAAGGATGATATGTTTATTTTACAGTGAGGAGGTAAGAATTAAAACATGAGTTTAGAACAATATATTATTTAAAGGTTTTCCTGCAGCCCTTGTTTGGATCTTCAGGTGAAAGTAAATCATTTAATCTCATCTATCATCAGTAATAATAGTTTGTTCATAGAGGACTCTATCATTTTCTAAACATTTAACACTGGATGGTTTCTTCTGAACCATGAAATGTTCTGTATAGGATCCCCTTTCTTTTAGAAAAAGAAAAATGTTCTAAATAGTTTGGCATTAAGTTTGCTAATGTCCATTTCTGCTCTGAGCTTTCTATGTGTATTAATTAAGGTCTTTATTTCTACTCTAGGATGCACTGAGGAAGGGTCTGATAAGCTGAGAATCTGATTCTGAGAAATTAGAGATCTGAACTTTAAAGCTTGATATTATTAAGCCTTTATTTCTCCTAATAAGGATAATTTTCTGCTTATAGTAAATTAACTTCAAAGATTTATGATTATATTATCTAGTAAGCCAATGAAACTTTTTTCTGGTAAAGAGATATATCTAATAGTTCAAAACTATTTCTAATTTGGTAGTCTGTGTTTAATGAAAAACGTTTTTTACTTACAGCTTCAAATGTTCTTTAATCTGAACTAATCTAAATGTCTGTAGCTCCCAAAGGAGGATGTGTGCCCCCTAGTGGGAGCACAGTTTAATAGCAGGGGACAGGGCAACACAATCATATAAACACATATATACATATATATTAATATTTTTTATTTTAACACTAACCAGACCGTTAGCATTGTTTATATGTCTTATTGATTAGATCTACTTAAACCTGAAAAACTCACACAGGCACATCCAGCAACCTAAAAAAAGCATTTAGTTTTTTTTTCATTTAATTTTCCTTAATTATTGTTCCTGGTCTAATGTTTTTTTTTTCCCTCACAGTTCTAGACGTTGTGCTTCCAGCTGATCCTGACCCGGAGCCCTGGTTCTGGATAGAGGATCAAGGTGATGAATATGTTTTTCATATTGTCACAGATCTGTTCCTCGGTTACAATGAGGAGATAGAAGTAGAAGAAATAGGGGTTGACTATGAGGAGGTAGAAGTGGAAGGAGTAGTGGTGGACGAGTATGAGCAGGCGGAGATGTGGTCTTTTGAGGGGGAAGATGATGATTTTGATGAAGTCAGGTCTTTTTCTGGTGAAGACGATGACCACCTTCCCCCACATCTTCGGCTCACCCAGAGGATTCCCCCCGACTTCAGACTCCCGTTGAACCACGAAGAGCCAGAAGAGTCCCTAGAGTGCCAAGAAGACCGTGTCTCCAGGAGGAGGAGAAGAGAGGAAGACGACGAAGAGGAGCTCCCCTGGAAGAGGCTTTGTCATGACAGGGATGTTTAAGAAGAGGAATTCTGGCAGGATCTGGCAGGTCTAGGGATGCCTTAGGTAGCGTCTTGCACCGTGGCTTTTATTTACCCCGCTGCAAGATTTTGATTTAAGTTTTAGATGTTAGAAATTTCGTTTAGCACTGACATTTGAGCAGGCACTGAGGACATGGCAACCATTTAAAAAAGGTGTGGAACATGAGAGCTGGCTAAGGCAGACATAATCTAGCATGCTCTACATCTTATGTCAGAGCTGGACAGTCTGCCAGCTAACAGAAGGCAACACAAACAAAGGATTGATAAAAGAACCAGATTTGAAAAGAAGAAACACAGCATGGAGGCAAATGAACAAAAAAATAAAAACACCAAAAGACAAAAAATGAATCCTGGTTGAAAACAGATGAACCACAAGGAGGCAAACCAATCCAAGGAGCAGCTGGACATCACTGCTGAGGACAATGCAGGAGGTCAAAGAAAAATCTTAAAGGTCTAAAAATGGAGGTCACCTAAAGTCTATAGGCAGAGGGCCAAGGCTGTAGTGGAGACAGATTATCTAGAGTAGGACGATGCTGCTGGGGACAAACTGGATCTAGAATGGAACAGTGGCACAGCTTGTGGTGGTCATCAGTGGAACTGGTCTCTGGGATGTTGGTGAGAAGGTAAAGAGACGATGCTTGGAGGGACAAACTGATTTCAGAGCAGTTTGAGACAGAGGACAGGACTGATGTAGGGATTTGGTTTGTGAGAGGAGCCGACTGTTAGAAACAGCTTTCAGATGCGACTTGGTCTACTTCTAGATGTTCCTCTGGTCAGTTAGTTTTCAGGCCTACTTTGAGGGAAAGGAACCCTCTGCAGAAATATTCTTCATATGATCTAGGCCTGTTCTGACCGCAGTGGATCTCTTCTGTGTTTTTTGAATCCCATGTTGGACCGAGCCGCTACAAGCTTTGGGCCAATCAGAAGATGCTGATGAGATCTGCAGCGACCAAACCAGAGGAGGATCATCTGAGCTGCTGACCTTCACAAAGAGTGAGAGCATGTTCAGTAAGGAGCAACAATAATCCTTCATTTAAATATAACGTTAACATTTCAGGTGGCCTCACTTAGTTTTTCATGTATGTTCAGACACTGTGGACGTCCAAAAGCAGAACTTCTGTGAGGAACCGGGACATCCAGGATGGTGAGGAGCTTCCCAGTCCCCACCTGAGGACGGCACAGAGAAAGACTGGAACAGAAAACACATGGAGTAAGACTTTATGAACACCACAAACCGACAACTCAAGCTTCCCAGGCCTGATTAAAAGCTAACAGTCACTGAAACACAGAAAGACCAAGATTATGATGAAAACAACATCCTGCCCAGATTTAAACTTGGTTTCCAGGAAATTCATTTGTCTTCTTTTTGCAGGGAAAGCAGGTTGAACATGGGAGCAGTTTTCTAGCAGCCGGATCACATTGGAACAGAGTCCATCCACACGTGTTTGGAGGTATGTTGGTTGTTATCTGACTAGAGAGGCATCACATGCAGACAGTTTCAGACTCTGAGGACGCTTTGCTTTCATTGATAAAGGAGCTGAAGAAGAGGACGGAGCACAGAGACCGCTAAGGAGGAGAAACATGGCTCCTCTATTTCTCTCCAACATGCTGGAGTCCTGGACTGAAAAACGTTGACGACCCTGCAGCTAAACCATCAGTCTGCTCCACCCAGTAAGAGAAGATAACAAACCTTTATTGCTTCCAGATGTTCATCAGTATTGGTGGAGATATTAAAAACAGATCCAGAACAAACAGATTTAAAAGATACAACCATCCCATCAAGGTGGTCTGACCTTTAATCTTTATCTTTCCATCATTAATTGTTCACCTTCGTTTGAATCTCTGTAACCAAAATTTACCAGAACCAGAAGTTCTGACTTTTCCATTAGACCACAGATAAACAGTTAGGAAGCAGCTGTATAAGGGACCAACATCAACAGAAAGATGAAGACGACCACCTGAAGATGTCTGACATCAGTTTTGGCTTTTTGATTTTTCAATTATACAACATGAATGAGAAGGGAAATGTGTTGTGATGTGTTGTATTTTAATCAAAGATTAACATTTTTAGTATCTAAGTGTTTGATATTACTTTTCTTGATAATAAAAAGAAAGTCCATGTGTTAGATGACCACCTGATGGCTGATGGTCAGTATTGGCAGAGATTTCTGGATCAGAGAATGAACTTTGATGATTGGGTCATCTCAGCTACCATTGGGAAAGAGGTGCGCTGAGATTAAATCCTCCAACTTTTCAATGTGTGCTTTGACTGAGCCTGATTCTGAAGAGCTGAACTCGTCATCTGCGTGAAACATCTTTGTGTTATGATTTTAACATTTTGCATAGAGATTGATCTTTTTTTACTTTTAATGAAGCTTTGTAGAGATGAAGGGGTCTATTGTTTTGACTGATTTGAACTTTTCTCTTTCCAGGGAAACAAAAAGGGTAACTGATAATGATAAGAACTAAAAATTATATTTTCAGCAAATAGATATTTTACCATAAAAGTATCATCATGGGGAAAAACAGTAAATATTTTTGCCAACTAAGATGTGATTCCAGGGCTCTATTTATTGGCAACATATTTTAGCTATCATAATCTTTTCCATAATTTTTCCATCTATTATAATCATTTAACATTGTCCACCGGCTTAATGCAGTTGCGGATTTTTTATTTATTATTTTTGAATAATTATTATTTTTATTATTATTATTATTATTATTATTATTATTATTATTATTTTATTTTAGTTTGTAGTTTTTAGATTTCTTTACATTTATTCACAATTTTAGTTTTTTAGTTTTTAGCTTTCTCTACATATATTCACAATTTTTAGTTTTTTAGTTTTTAGCTTTCTCTACATATATCACAATTTCATAGCGCTGTTTAGCCATCCATCCTCCAGCTTTGACCAGTAATGACTTCATGTGATTCTTAATAAATAGGAATGATTCTAATAAAATAAAATCATTTGCATCCTTCCAAATATAACTAATTAATTAATGTGAGCCAGCATATAGGAAACCATAGAAGGATGAACTATGTTTGGACTGGTTTTATCAAACTTATTTTAACTAAACCTTCAATTTATGTTAGATTTGGTCCCAACGGAATTATCCTAATTCCTTTGATGTCCTACCCAGTATTATATATGATTAATCTATCCTAAGGAGTGAAGGTGGCTCACGAGGTGGAGAGTTGCTGGCAAGAGCCCGTGCTCTGTCTTTGTTCTCCAGCACCCATTCGGTTTAGACATATGGCAGGTCCCACCAAGTCTGGTTCCTACGGAAGCTTATTGCATTCACCAAAGAAAAATAAATCAGACAGTTTATCTCATAATTACAAGATAAGATCTCGTAATTATGAGATAATATATCATATTTAGGAGATCAGGAAGGACAGCCATTGATGAGCTACGCTGCATGAAACATTAACAATGAGTGGATGGTCAGATTTAATATGCTTTTATTTCCTTTTAGGTATGCGACACCTGGAAATACAGATTTGCCTCAATGCAGATGGAATTGGTTTTAGTTTGTCAGCATTGTGCAGGTACCTTACAGTAAGTCCATAGAATTGTTTAGGCAAAAAAAGCCCACTCTACTCTGACTTGCTGGAAATCACTCTATTCCTGCAGGAGCAATTAAACTAGCATGGGATGCTTTATGGATATAAATGAATGCATCTGAAATAGATTCCAGCTGGTTTGGTGGTGTCCCAAAGAACTGTCCACCAGTACATTCTCTAAATCCTTGATCCTCAAGGAGTACAACTGAGGCTTCAGCACCGTTTAAAATGACCAGGTCCCAACTTCATGCGGCATGACGATTCATATGAGAAACTAAAACCATACTTAATCTGTATTAATGGAGCTGTTGATAGATTTCAGCGTATGGTCATATGACTGCATGCTTACTCCACAAGTAATAATCCCAGGGTTATAGCTGGGTACTTTATTGATGAAGACAAAAACAGGAGCAGAACTCCAACACGTATCAGGTCAGACCTTAGTACGGAGAACTGTTCAGAGGAACAGATGCAGATATTTTTAAGAAGTAATCATGAAATGGAGTTTTCTGAGAGATGCTAGATTACTGGCTAAAGTAATCATGACCAAATATATAGATAAGATCTCTTAATTATAAGACATTTTCTCATGATTACGAAATCTCATAATTACGAGATCAGTATCTCATAATTATGAGATAAGCCATCTGAATTTTTTTTCTTTTGTGAATGCAGTACGCTTCCGTAGGTTCCTCTGGTTAAAGGGGAGTTTATATTCTTACTATTACTGCTACATACATGGTTGGTATGAGGGATTGATGCAAAGTCAATTGCTCAATACAAGTAGCTGTCCACTGCCACTACACAAATTCTGTTACTCAATTATTTCATTTAATTTGCTGCGTTTCTTGAAAATGAAAATAAAAAAATGCTTATTTATTTTTATTAAATTGTCTCTGTAAAGTGTCTTGGGATCACACGTGTTTAAAATAGGTGCTACTTATATAAAATCATATGAATGGTATTGTAATACCTGAAGAGAACCCACTTATGAGTTAATTTTATGAGTTAATTTTATGAGTCTATAGTTATGCCTATAGCAGCATAACTATAGAGATAGCTCAGGATAACCTGAGCCGCACTAACTATAAGCTTTATCAAAATGTAAAGTTTTAAGCCTAGCCTTAAAAGTAGACAAGGTGTCTGCCTCACAGACCAATACTAGTAGTAAATTTTCTGGGGGAGGACCCCAGACCCCCGCGACAATGAAGTTTCTCTAGGACCCACGCATCCCTTATTTCCATTTCCAAGAGATGGCAACCCTACTTAAACGAATAGTACCTTTTGCTGTTATTACAGAACTTAGTTTTATTTGGTAAGATGCTTGTCAGTGTGGCACATCTTTATGTGGAAATATTTGCCCACTTTTCTGTTTTAACACCAAAACAAAATGACAGATTGTGAGAGCATCTCCTCTGTACAGCCCTTTTCAGATCACCACACAGATCTTTGATGGGATTCGGGTCTGGACTCTGGCTGGGCCATTCCAAGGCTTCAGTCTTATTCCAGTGAAGCTGTTCTTTTGTAGATTTAAATGTGTGCTTTGGGTTATTGTTGTAGCTCGGTAAAGGCGTGCATGAAATTGTTTTATAACATTTAAAGGATTCGATTTAAGTAAAACTAAAATTGTAAAGGGTGTATATTTAAAACAAATAAAATTTTGTATTATTTAGCTGAAAGTAAAAAATTTTGTTTTTTGTAGTTTGAGAATAACTTTTGGAATTCTTATGAATTAGTAGATTAGACAATATTATCACCTGCTATTATTTGTCCTAATGTTATGCTTTGACTGTTTTTTATACAGAGCAATCCTGTACGCTGCTTTATTGATATTTTCTTATATATACATCTTCCAAAGATGTGAAGTAAAGCTGCAGGGTTTCTTCACCAGAGGGCAGTTGATGTAAAGCTTCAACCATGAGCTGAAAATACTTCCAGTGATGAATCAAAGCACGTGGAACAGAATGTTTTTGACTGGATGCAGACACCAGGGACAGGGAATGAGACAATCACCTCTCAAAATATATTAAAATGGGCCTCGCATGCTGTTTCTCTTGCGTTCCTGTCATTATTGTGTGCAGTCTGTCCATTCTTATTTTATCATCTAATCATCTAGTTTTTTCTTAATCTTCATTGAAATAAATCATCATTATATGTCATTGTCCATCCATCCATTTTCCATCAAGCTTATGCCAAGCGGAGTGGCGAGGGGTGCTGGTGCCTATCTCCAGCAGTCTACGGGCAAAAGGCGGAGTACACCTTGGACAGGTCGCCATTCCTTCGCTGGGGAACACAGAAACAAACAGGACAAACAACCATTCACGCACACTCACACCTAAGGAGAATTTAGAAAGGCCAATTAACCTAACAGACATCTTTTTGGACTATGGGAGGAAGCCGGAGAACCCGGAGAGAACCCATGCATGCAGACAGACAGACAGACAGACAGACAGACAGACAGACAGAAAGAAAGAAAGCTTGGAAAAGAAATCCTTTTTTATCATGCTTTTCTAATTTTGCAAACCTCCAATCTCTGATTTTATTTAAGAAAACAAAGGTCCAACACAGCTGAGGTCTAACATCAATTGTGTGCCTCAATCACAATGATCATAAATCACCTAAGGAGAATTTTGAAAGGCCAATTAACCTAACAGACATCTTTTTGGACTATGGGAGGAAGCCGGAGAACCCGGAGAGAACCCATGCATGCTAGACAGACAGACAGACAGACAGACAGACAGACAGACAGACAGACAGACAGACAGACAGACAGACAGACAGACAGAAAGAAAGAAAGAAAGAAAGAAAGAAAGAAAGAAAGAAAGAAAGCTAGGAAAAGTAATACTTTTTTTCATGCTTTTCTAATTTTGCAAACCTCCAATCTCTGATTTTATTTAAGAAAACAAAGGTCCAACACAGCTGAGGTCTAACATCAATTGTGTGCCTCAATCACAATGATCATAAATCCACTTACTTACATCGGAAGAGTTTTACGAACTGAGAAAACATCTTTTTAAACGGGCCTTTCTCCTTATATGTTCTTTTGTGTGCAAGTTCAATTAGCACAAACTTTAAGACGTACTCTTGAAACCATTCCTGTGGTCTTACTGCTTCTCTGATCAAGTCTTTTGGTTTCTTGTTAATCCCAAGAAGATGGGTATGCACCTTCTTTGCAAGAGCCTCAGTGTCTACTTGTTCGATTAAGTCGATGTATTTC